AAAAAAATATAATAACAAGATCAAAACATCAAATTATTCATAGTGAGACTTACTACCACATCATTAGTACTCATTTTTCAAAATTTAACCAAGCTAATCTCCTATTCAGAGAGGTTACTAAATTACTCCCCTGCCAAAACACTACCAAACAAATTGTAAATAGGACCCACAGCATAGCACTCCAATTATTCTCCCACGTCGGTAGACAAACATGGCATAAGCATCATATGAAATTTCTGATGATGTAACAATCATGGGGCTGGAAAGCGATGAGAACGGAACTGCAGAGAGATCGAAACCTCAATTGAGAATTATTTGGGGCATGTAACACGTCACACAGTTCAGACAAAATCAGAGCACACGAGAGAGCTCTTTCTCGTGTCATTGCCGACGGTGAATTCTCCTCCAGTTTTTCCTTCGGCGAATCTCCATATTCTAACGTCCCCCTTTTTCATCCACCAGTTTCTGTAACTGACTCTTTCTCTCTCTCTCTCTCTCTAACAACTGTCCCATCACAATACTTTATATACAATACAAAACTGTGTCGGTTGTTCAAAAGTCTATATATCTTTCTCTATTGTTCGAGCTATTTCTCTTCTAGTACGTTCTGGAGATATAGGGTTTTGGACTCTGAAGGTTTCTCCATGGAGATTTTGGTGTTTCTTTAGAAGTTTGCTTACTTTTTTTGTTGTTGTTGTTGAGGGTTTGAAGTAGAAGACGAAGAGTTAGGGCAAGAGTAAGAGTGAGAGTGAGAGAGAGAGAGAGGAGGGATTGAATGGTGGAGTATAAATGTTGCGGGTCGGAGTTCTTTATTCACATATTGATAATCGTGTTTCTAGTTTTGTTCACTGGATTGATGTCTGGGCTCACTTTGGGGTTCATGTCTATGAGTCTCGTTGATCTTGAAGTTCTCGCCAAATCTGGAACTCCCAAGGATCGCAAACACGCTGGTAGTTTATGTATTGATATATTTGGTTAAATTTATGTCTCTCACTTTTTATTTATTGCTATTTGATGCTAATTTAATGCTTATCTGCTTTTGGGGCCTCGTTTGAATTGAATGATAATCTGTGTTTTGTAGTAAAATTTGATGCTACAAAATTCTTGATTGAGAGAATTTATTGCATTAACTGACAGCGACCCAACACAAAGTAGTTAAATAAGTGAGAGATTCAGAGTTGAGACATTTCTATGAAATCGCAAAACTGAGTGAGTAATCTTTTGTGGTTCTTTGATTACCTCATTCTCAATGATGGATTTTAAATTTTACATATGAACATAAGGTACTACATAGCCATTCAATTCTACAAAATTATCCAGAAGTGTAAAAATATGAAAATGTTTATTTTTGGGGTAGGGTATAATTTAACTTTCAGTAGATATTGATGGATCTGGTGTGTTTTACTATGTAATGGTTGTTTGTATCAAGCATTCTCATTTGCTAATGAATTGGTGGCTGTTTCACTGAATAGCAGCGTCCCTTACCGTAATTGTTAAGGCTAGGTTTGCATTTGCTGCTGGAGTGCTCCTCCCTTTTGGTGCAACTTAGTCACTGTTCTTTGTAAGTATTAGCTGGCTCTCATTTGGCGTGCAGTTTGGACTATATATTCTTAGAAGTATAAAATACTTAAAAAATCGGTTGTAATATTCTACTAAAAAAAAAGTAGAACACAGGAAAAAAAAAGAAATGAGGCTGTTAATGAGGAGGCAAACAATTACCCATTTGGCTAGGAAGGAGGAGTTGAAGGATAGCCTCTGTAGATGCACAGCAACTTGCTTAAATTGTGAATCTGCAGAGGACCACAACTTGCATTCTAACAAGCCAGCTAATGACAACAGGAACTATCTCTTTCCATGACAATGGATTAAGGTCCTAGTTTTTCATTATTTTAATCCCCGAGGGAAAACATAATAGCTATGCCTAGGTTGAACTTTGACTAATTGGCATTGGCCTTGATAAAGCAAACATAAAGTCATCATTTGTTCTCATTCATTTGAAGACATCTATCTATCACTATCAATTTATAGACTACCTTCTGTGTGCATTGGGGAAAGTGCAATTGTGTGTGGTGTTTGTCAAATGATATGCCTCTCTGCTATACACTTAGGAGAGTGAGCGTGACAAGCATGTATGAAGAGCATTCAGTGGCTTGTTGATGAATAAAAGGCATTTCTTACAAAGAAAACAGGGCATGCATTTTCCCATTTGGGGGGTATTTAGCTGGACTAGATAAATAGAAAAACAAATATTGCAAGATAAATATAATTGAGATGATGCTAGTGATGTATGGGTGATGACACAAGTTATAAATGCCAAATATGCTGTACTATTAGATTTTGTTTTTGTAATGCTTCAAACACTACATATGGCTGAGGTTGGTAGAATTGTATTGCATTCTTTGGCTCTCTCTTTATTTTGATTGTGTACTACTATACAGTATAATTGACGTCTTTTACTTTTTCACAACAGAAAAGATATTAAGGTTGTCCGAAAACAGCATTTATTGCTTTGCACGTTGCTTATATGCAATGTTGCTGCCATGGAGGTACATATATTATGACATGTTGAAACAAGCTATTTTTAATAACATGTATCGTGAAGTACTTGATGTTTTTAGATGTTCTTTTTGTCAGACACTTCCCATATTTCTGGATAGTCTGGTTACTGCTTGGGGTGCCATCCTGATTTCAGTTACATTGATACTTCTGTTTGGAGAGGTGAGGGATTTATCTTAGGTAACATTTCTTTAGAAGAGAGCAATAAATTTTGGAACAGGTGGACAACTGTTTGAATTTGCAGTGCAATTTATGGTTTATTAGGGTATTCGTGCCCGATTGTACCTACTTAAAACTGATTTCTTATCCCTACAATTTGCTACATGGGCAATTGAGGTGGGAATGTGTCTGCCCATCTGTTCTGATAGAAAACAAAAGAAAAAAAAGGTCTCCAATTGAGGAATCCTTAAAGCATCCATCCAATACTCCTCCCTTTTTCCTACAAAATGTGCTGCTTGCAGGAATTTTAATTTTCTCGTCTATAAAAACGTCTCCCGAAGTTAATGTTATCCCATTTTTATTTTTCACTTCAAACTCCATTGCAAAGAGCTTCTTTTTCCTTCTGTTTTATCTTGTGACTTGATAGTCTTCTGATTACCTGTAAACAGGCTGGAAAAGGTGGAGAACTCACACATGATGAGACAACAATTATTGCTGGAGCACTTGGGCTTACTGAGAAAACAGCCAGTGATGCCATGACTCCCATATCTGACACTTTTGCTGTTGATATCAATGCCAAGCTTGACAGGTGTTGCATGCTTTGGAAAACTTTTGAATAGAAGGTTTACTTGAAGTCTTTTTTAACTTTGTTTTGATCATATATATGATGATGCTTGATATCTAATAGGGAGCTGATGAATTTAATTTTGGAGAAAGGGCATAGAAGAGTGCCAGTCTACTATGAGCAACCTACAAACATAATTGGACTTGTTTTGGTAAATTGTTTGTTTGTGCTTCATGTAATTTGAAAATAAATTGTTTATTTTGTCACTCTTTGGAGAATGATCATTTTTCAAGTGACTTTAGTTTATTAGTATGCTCATTTTTTAAACTTGACATGCTGTTTTAGAACCATCTCTGCTCATTTTCATTTTCTCTTACCCTCCTGCTTCACTCCGCCCTATCTAGAAAGCATATCTCATAGTTTGGGACCTTTTAGACTTTCATGTAGAAAAATTCTTTCTTTTGGTAAAGTACATGCAAATACATTCTTGTGAGAGTCTGACATAAGAAGTTTTCTTGTGATTTTTACAGTGGAAAATAAGCTATAAAAAGATTTTGGCTCCTTATTTTGTTCTTGATGCAAAAGATGTATACACAAGAAGAGTTGAGAAGATATATTATGAATTTATTGCAGTATTATACCTTCAAACATAGTATTAAAACCTATGATGCATGCAAAAAAGAGGTAAAGGAAATTAAAATTTACTTTGATTTTGTTTGTGTTTATTAGCTAATTGAGTGATTAGTAGTTAAGTGTTATGGATCAATTAACAACCTTGTCCTTTCCAACTTGAGCCAGTAATATAAAAATTTTAGGAAAAGTATAGTCATTCCTGAATTACTTCGTTTATCCTTGTGTCATATAATGGTCCTATCATGCTAGACTCCTGAATCTAGTATGAATATATCCTTATCTCTATGTTTCAAGTTGTCTGCTCCTATACCCACTCTTTTCTCTTCCTATCCATATTTGGTTACTGCCCTTTCATGTCACTGCACGCATTTGTCTCTAATTTTGTGAATAACCTTAAAGTATAAAACATAGTAACCACTCCTGGATCATTGAGAACATGAGAAATAAGCTAATAGGCCTGCTGAAGGACTGCAACTTTATTTTTTTATGGCTGTAAGATTTATAATTGTCTCTTACAGCTCAATTGGGTTAACTATGAAGCTCATTGAATGGTTTAGAAATTTCATATAGTTGGCGATTCTATTCTTTAAAACCTTTATCTAGAAAGGAAGCAATTGCTTGTTTGTTGTTTCTAAAATCAGCTTTTAAGAAGCGAGAAAACAAGTATGGAGGATGATGATGAGGTTAGTTTCCAACCTTCTACTACTCTGTTTTCTTCTTTTTTTCTCTGTTTTTTTAATTTTCAAAATGAAAATATTCCTCTTGCTATGAAGAATTTATTAATTTTTTTTTTTACAGTTTGGTATTTTGTGTGTGTGTGTGTGTGTGTGTGTGTGTGTGTGTGTGTGTGTGTGTGTGTGTGTGTGTGTGTGTGTGTGTGTGTGTGTGTGTGTGTGTGTGTGTGTGTGTGTGTGTGTGTGTGTGTGTGTGTGTGTGTGTGTGTGTGTGTGTGTGTGTGTGTGTGTGTGTGTGTGTGTGTGTGTGTGTGTGTGTGTGTGTGTGTGTGTGTGTGTGTGTGTGTGTGTGTGTGTGTGTGTGTGTGTGTGTGTGTGTGTGTGTGTGTGTGTGTGTGTGTGTGTGTGTGTGTGTGTGTGTGTGTGTGTGTGTGTGTGTGTGTGTGTGTGTGTGTGTGTGTGTGTGTGTGTGTGTGTGTGTGTGTGTGTGTGTGTGTGTGTGTGTGTGTGTGTGTGTGTGTGTGTGTGTGTGTGTGTGTGTGTGTGTGTGTGTGTGTGTGTGTGTGTGTGTGTGTGTGTGTGTGTGTGTGTGTGTGTGTGTGTGTGTGTGTGTGTGTGTGTGTGTGTGTGTGTGTGTGTGTGTGTGTGTGTGTGTGTGTGTGTGTGTGTGTGTGTGTGTGTGTGTGTGTGTGTGTGTGTGTGTGTGTGTGTGTGTGTGTGTGTGTGTGTGTGTGTGTGTGTGTGTGTGTGTGTGTGTGTGTGTGTGTGTGTGTGTGTGTGTGTGTGTGTGTGTGTGTGTGTGTGTGTGTGTGTGTGTGTGTGTGTGTGTGTGTGTGTGTGTGTGTGTGTGTGTGTGTGTGTGTGTGTGTGTGTGTGTGTGTGTGTGTGTGTGTGTGTGTGTGTGTGTGTGTGTGTGTGTGTGTGTGTGTGTGTGTGTGTGTGTGTGTGTGTGTGTGTGTGTGTGTGTGTGTGTGTGTGTGTGTGTGTGTGTGTGTGTGTGTGTGTGTGTGTGTGTGTGTGTGTGTGTGTGTGTGTGTGTGTGTGTGTGTGTGTGTGTGTGTGTGTGTGTGTGTGTGTGTGTTGTGTGTGTGCAGGGTGAAAATATTCCCACATGATTGTTTGTTAGGCTTACATTTGAATTCAATGTTTCATAATGTATTCTTGTGTCTTTGGGTTGAATTTTCACCATACGTTTTCTCCATGACCAAGCTAGACAATGTTGAAGTTAAAAACCCTGATGTATGTCTACTGTTGATAATAAATATCTCAACTTGGCACATTTCCTATGTGCTTCATTTATTTTATTGAAGTCTGATGTTGCAACATTGGGTTTATGATGCTTGATCTTGTTCCTTGACCTTTATTTGATGATACATCATAGATTGTGAATCCAGCTTTTATTAAAATTAATCTTGTGATGTACCAGCCTGCCAAGTCATCAGCCATCTAAAGATCTCCAAAACTGGAAACTGCTTTTACTCTGAGATGCTTTATTTCACAGTCATTTTTCTGTCATTTTTGTAACTATGCTCCTGTTATGTGTGATTTTATTTTACACTATCATTGCAGTTATGTTTCTTTGCACCCACTATTTTGCTAATCTACTAATACCTTCTGGCAGTCTGAACTTGAAAACTTATCGTTCATGTACTCAAATGCTCAAGCTCTTCTCATTGTATTAGGCAAACAAAATTTTAATGAAGAAGATTGAGGATGATCAGTTCCTAGACCTTATGACTCTGAAAACAAAATTTTCGTTGGTAAATTGTTTGTTTGTGCTTAAAAGCTTGTAAGCAATCTTCTATGTTGTGTTCTCTTTATTTTGACAATCACACTCAAATTATAGCCTTACTTTAAAATAGCAATGTGTAGTAACTGAGATGGAGATGTTCAGTTACAGCACTGCTGGTGGAGCAGCAAACCAGGGTGCTCTTGGACCGTTTGGTTTGTTGGTTCTTGCAGATGAGAGCCTTTCTGAGCAGACTCCCATTTACTTCTATGTTGCCAAAGGAGCTGAGGGCAAGTTGAAGACTTTCTTCTGTGCTGATGAATCAAGGTTTGTTACTCTTTTCATTGTGCACTTGAAACATACTCAATATTAATTAACATTTTTTGTCCTTTATTATAGTTTTATTGGTTATGAGTATTACCAAATTATATAAGTCCATCCTTATAATTTTTAATTTTTTTTTGAAAATTATATTACCTGCCCCTTGTTAACAATCATTTTGAAGGTAGAATCTCCATCCATCTCTGAGAACCTCCATTATTTTCATATAATTCTGATTTTTTCTCCAACCCGAAACATTGGCTTAGTATTATTAGAGGTTAGGATGGCAATGAGGCAGGTGTGAGTCTTTGACCCCTACCCTCCTCCACCTTTGTTTAGTGAATATTGGACCTTATCCGCCAGTCTCTCCTCTCCCCCATCCTCGGCCCTCCCCACATAATATAATCTAGTCTCCGACCCTACTTGCCCTGTTTAGTGTTATGTCTTATATTTTTAGTATTGAATATTAATAATGTGGTTTTGATAGTTCTAGATGACAATGATTTAACATTGATTTAAGTGTGCGATCAGAGTCAAGGAAGAAAGAAAAGAGCTGCAATATACAATAAAACAGAGAATAGAAGAGAGAAAAAAATCTTTAAAATCATTTTATAATTATGTAATTTATATGTCATGTTTTTTATAGTATGCATAATCGGGTCGGGTTACCCTCCCCAAACTCATTTTATTGGAATCGGAGAGGGTTGGGAACTGCTGGGTCGAGGATTTTTTTGCTATCCCTAATCAGAGGACTGTTTTTGGCATGAACCACAACTTGACTCGCCGATACACCTGTTTTTTGTGTAGGTCTTCTAAGGCAACAGATGTGATGAAACCAATTTACAGAAGCACAGTTCCAGTGCTCAAAGGAGAAAAGTTCAGCATGAGAATATTGGTATGTTAAAAAAATCATTTTGCTTAGTAAATAATAATTTGCTGTCTAAAATCCTAAAATTTATTGAAAATAAAATTTGGATTATTAAAATGTGGGGTCATTTTTAATTTAGGTGGATCATTCGATAGTAGAAAGCTTCGCTCAACGCGGGAGGACGTGCATAACTTCGCGGATATATCCAACGAAGGCCATCTACGAGGATACAAAAATTTTCTTGTTCAACAATGCTACTGAGGCCAACATCATAGCCTCCCTCAAGATTTGGCAAATGGACTCTGCATATATTCATTCCTATCCTACTGAACTCATAATGTAAAAAAAAAAAGAGATATAACACAAAGTATATAAAGGATGCCTCAAACAGTGAAAGACCCTTAATGAAACATGAAGAGGGGGTCAAAATAAGGTCATTTTTAGTTTGGACCAGAACCCAAAAACAGAAGCAAAAGAGGCTAATAAATCATGCAAAAATATGGCCAAAAGAGAGATATAAAGGGAAGTGATAAATGAAAGCCTCAAACAGCAATGAGTCCTTCAACAATGTTGAAGAAGGGCTCAAAATAAGCCACTTTTCAGTTCATGATAGAGCTCAAAATAGTTTATACATAGGCCAAAAATACAACACAAGAAGATGGCATACAAGGGAGATAATGAAGCAAGTGCCACAAGGAGACCTCAAACAGGTAAATAGCTCAAAATAAGTCTAGTTCCAGTTAGGGTCGGAGCCCAAAACAGCAAGCAAGAATGGCTAAGAAAGTATGCAAAATATGGACAAAAAAGAGGGAAATGGAACTTACCCTTGTAGACCAATCTTTTGGCAACTCTTGGCTTGAGTTGCAGCACACCTGGGCTCTGAAGAACAACCTCCAGCTGCTGGAATGGAGGATGGAAGGGTAGGGCTATGGGTTGGTGAAGAAAGGGGTGTAGGACTTGAAAGGTTTTGAGCTTAGAATAGAGAGGGAGAGGGATATAATGCAAGAGGCTTAAAGGGAAATTTTGTAACCCTAATCACAAAGTTGGAGCTTCTGTTATATAGCCCAAAAAGGGGGGAAAAGGGGGGGGAAAAATGGAGGGAAAACAATCAAGTTTCCCCTAAAAAATGCACCCCCCGGGATACACAATCTGGGGGGAAAACAGATGCATATCTGCACTGTACTTGACGCAAGGAGCATGGCCGGCCGGTTATGTAGGTTGCAGGTGGCCGGACGGCTACTTCCCATGGCCGGCCGGCTAGGGGTCAAAAAGGTCAATGAGAATTAGTTGCCGGCCACCACAGAAAGAGGGCCTCCCATGTGTGCACAACACAACCCTGTGGTTAAACACTGGAAAAAGTGAACCAGGAGAGAGAACAACCCACTTTTCAAAGGGGTTCAAAAGGGTCAGAAAGGATTACGGGCCAGCCACCAAATATTGGTGGCCTCCCAGATGTGTACATCACAAATATGGGATTTAGGGTTCAAGAAAATGGCCCAAAGGTGTTCAACATTGGCTTTGAAGTGAAGAAAATCGGGCGACGGAGGGCGATGAAGGGATAAAGTTGGCTGACAGAACAATTACTGGCCTCCCACCCTTCTACGGCCTTCTTACCAATGAAACAGAGGTCCCTGCCAAAAATGAACCAAAACCGATGCAGAATGAAGGTTCGGGGGCCGAAACGCGCAGCCCGAGGCCCCGAAAACTGACTGTTAGGCACCAGGAGTGTTGTTCGACCATGAAGTCGGTCTCTCGGACCACAATGTCCCTCAAAAGCGAGCAAATAATAAGTATGCCAAAAACCGGAGCAAACGGAGATGGTTAAGCGGTCCCGAACCGAGGCACACGGCCAACAATTCCGAAAAACCGAAAACCGGACTCCAAACGAGCAAAAATGGCCTACGACCACGAAACGTAGCCTACGGCCACTGAGTGATGGTCTACGAGACCTCTCCCTCCCTTCAGGAAGAGAAACAGAGAAAACCGAGCCTGGTTTGCAAACCGAGGTAAGGCGTGAAAGAGTCCGAAAGTCCGAAGGCAAGGCTCGCAGCCAAGACTCTAAAACCTCTGGACGAGCCCGATATGCAATATCACTGAGCGCTCAACTGGTGACGTCTGAGTCTCAAGGTCGGTCAAAAATGGGGTGTCTACAGTTGCCCCTCTTTGACAGAACTCGAAAGTCATAAGTGACAGGAGTGAATGTCAAAGCCCAGAGACGACCCATTTTTGACAAGGCCGAAGACTTCGACAAACAGGCGAGATAAACAGAGATGCGCCCGCAGGCAGGGGCAAAATGCAACTGACAATGCAAGAAGCCGAAGGTAACTCAATGATCGTGTAAATGCAGCAAGCTGTAATGAAGCAAGTATTCGCAAATAGATGCAACAGTTTTAAGCAAGAATGCAAAGCAATGACTACATTTCATGCAGTTAGGAATGCAGAGAATTATTCAATTTTCGTCACGTCTCACACGGAGAAGATACGATACCTGCGCGATTCGTCTGGTCGCCCCAGCTTCAAATGAACCGTACATACAATATCGTGCCTGCAAAACAAAGAAACTCAACAAGCACAACATATTTGACAGCATACGTTCAATGTGATATCGAATGCAGACAATCACTGTGTTGATAGAAAAGTGCATCGCAATGCGGGAAGAAACGCTCGTTCCGGCGAAGTTGACTCGATCGCGGCCTCCGGTCCACCTCCCAGAGAGGTTACAACATGTTCAAAAGGATACATCTCACTTTCGATGAGTAAACGATGAGACAAGCATTGGAAGTTGAAGCTGAAGTTCCAGCAGAGCGATTTCGCGACAGAAAGTGCACTTCTCTTGTACTTTTTCAGGTCTCGGGGACTCCAATCTTCCTCAAAATCTTCCTCAAAAGTGCACTTCTCCTAAATTTTGGTTTCGGGGCTTCTTTTCTCATTTTCGCCACTTGAGGTGAGTTTGTCTCAATATTTGGAAGATTTTCTCGGGAGTTGACTTTTGTTGACTTTTTCACTTCCCGAGAGTTGACTTTTGTTAACTTTTTCTAATTTTGGCTCATTTTTGCTCATTTTTGCCCTTTTTGCAGATTTCTTGAAATGACGGGTCAATTTCCCCACGGTGGAGGTTCTCCAGGCACCGGAGGCCATCCTGACATCATGTCTCTGCCTCCGAGGGTTCGCCCCTTCATACCCGAGAGGTATGACCCACCAGTACACGTTCCTCCGCGGGCTGTTTTTCATCATTTCACCGAGTTCGACGAGCGAGCACCCGGGGATCTACTCCTGCAGGAGCCTGAGTATCATCTCTCCCATGAGGCACGAGAGGTATTTACTTCGTTTTTACCTTTTTCTGTAACGTATTATGAATTTTTCTTGTATTTTGTTTGCACTCTGAACACACGGTCCATTCACTTGAATTTCTGAACACTCAGCCCATAAATTGATTGTGAACACACAGCACACACCGGTTGAGGGTTGAACACGCAGCTTACACACTGATTTTCTGTACGCACAGTCCAATTTGAAGGTGAGCACCCAGCACACACTGATTGAGAGTTGAACACGCAGCCCAAACACTGATTTTCTGAACACACAGCCCAAATTGATGGTGAACACGCAGCACACACTAATTGAGAATTGAACACGCAGCCCAAAACATTGATTTTCTGAACACACAGCCCAAATTGATGGTGAACACGTAGCACAAACTAATTGAGAATTGAACATGCAGCCCAAACACTGATTTTCTGAACACGCAGTCCAAATTGATGGTGAACACGCAGCCCAGACTGATTAAGAGTTGAACACGCAGCCCAAA